TTTGCCTGCAAAATGTAAATTTTTATGACAAATTGTAGATTTTTCGGGTTGAATTACCAGGCGATCATAACCAGCAGCAGGTTGCTGCCGAAAACAAAACGGTCGATGGTCACCTTCTGGAATTCCTGTTCGCCTGGTAATTTAAATCGAAAAATCTCACAATTTTCCCTGCAAATTGTAAATTTTTGCGAAAAATGGCCAAAATTCAACATTTAAAACCTCGAATGCAATTCGATGGCAAATTTTATACCGAATTCAACGAGGTATGACATTCCACAATCAGACCAATATTTTAGCTGCTGTGAACAAAAAACTGATAATTTTTAATCAAAAAATCAGGATTAAAGAAAATCTATGTACATCGCATTTTGTAAGGGGTAACATCATAATTTTTTGCGAAAAATGGCCGAAATTCAACATTTAAAACCTCGAATGCAATTCGATGGCAAATTTTATACCGAATTCAACGAGGTATGACATTCCACAATCAGACCAATATTTTAGCTGCTGTGAACAAAAAACTGATAATTTTTAATCAAAAAATCAGGATTAAAGAAAATCTATGTACATCGCATTTTGTAAGGGGTAACATCATAATTTTTTGCGAAAAATGGCCAAAATTTAACATTTCAAACCTTGAATGCAATTCGATGGCAAATTTTATACCGAATTCAACGAGGTATGACATTCCACAATCAGACCAATATTTTAGCTGCTGTGAACAAAAAACTGATCATTTTTAATCAAAAAATCAGGATTAAAGAAAATCTATGTACATGGCATTTTTGTAAGGGGTAACATCATAATTTTTTCGAAAAATGGCCAAAATTCAACATTTAAAACCTCGAATGCAATTCGATGGCAAATTTTATACCGAATTCAACGAGGTATGACATTCCACAATCAGACCAATATTTTAGCTCCTGTGAACAAAAAACTGATCATTTTTAATCAAAAAATCAGGATTAAAGAAAATCTATGTACATCGCATTTTGTAAGGGGTAACATCATAATTTTTTGCGAAAAATGGCCAAAATTCAACTTTTCAAACTTTAAATGCAATTCGATGGCAAATTTTATACCGAATTCAACGAGGTATGACATTCCACAATCAGACCACTATTTTAGCTCCTGTGAACAAAAAACTGATCATTTTTAATCAAAAAATCAGGATTAAAGAAAATCTATGTACATCGCATTTTTGTAAGGGGTAACATCATAAAAATGGGCAAAATTCAACATTTAAAACCTCGAATGCAATTCGATGGCAAATTTTATACCGAATTCAACGAGGTATGACATTCCACAATCAGACCAATATTTTAGCTCCTGTGAACAAAAAACTGATCATTTTTAATCAAAAAATCAGGATTAAAGAAAAATATGTACATCGCATTTTGTAATCATAATTTTTTCGAAAAATGGCCAAAATTCAACATTTAAAACCTCGAATGCAATTCGATGGCAAATTTTATACCGAATTCAACGAGGTATGACATTCCACAATCAGATCAATGGTCACCCTCTGGAATTCCTGTTCGCCTGGTAATTCAAACCGAAAAATCTCACAATTTTGCCTACAAAATGCAAATTTTTATGACAAATTGTAGATTTTTCAGTTTGAATTACCAGGCGATCATAATCAGCAGCAGGTTGCTGCCGAAAACCAAACGATCGATGGTCACCTTCTGGAATTCCTGTTCGAAAAATCTGACAATTTTGCCTGCAAAATGTAAATTTTTATGACAAATTGTAGATTTTTCGGGTTGAATTACCAGGCGATCATAATCAGCAGCAGGTTGCGTCCGAAAACAAAACGATCGATGGTCACCTTCTGGAATTCCTGTTCGCCTGGTAATTTAAATCGAAAAATCTGACAATTTTGCCTGCAAAATGTAAATTTTTATGGCAAATTGTAGATTTTTCGGGTTGAATTACCAGGCGATCATAATCAGCAGCAGGTTGCGTCCGAAAACAAAACGATCAATGGTCACCTTCTGGAATTCCTGTTCGCCTGGTAATTTAAATCGAAAAATCTCACAATTTTGCCTGCAAAATGTAAATTTTTATGACAAATTGTAGATTTTTCGGTTTGAATTACCAGGCGATTATAATCAGCAGCAGGTTGCTGCCGAAAACAAAACGATCGATGGTCACCCTCTGGAATTCCTGTTCGCCTGGTAATTCAAACCGAAAAATCTCACAATTTTGCCTACAAAATGCAAATTTTTATGACAAATTGTAGATTTTTCAGTTTGAATTACCAGGCGATCATAATCAGCAGCAGGTTGCTGCCGAAAACAAAACGATCCATGGTCACCTTCTGGAATTCCTGTTCGCCTGGTAATTTAAATCGAAAAATCTCACAACTTTGCCTGCAAAATGTAAATTTTTATGACAAATTGTAGATTTTTCGGGTTGAATTACCAGGCGATCATAACCAGCAGCAGCTTGCTGCCGAAAACCAAAAGATCGTGGTCACCTTCTGGAATTCCTGTTCGCCTGGTAATTCAAACCGAAAAATCTCACAATTTTGCCTACAAAATCCAAATTTTTATGGAAAATTGTAGATTTTTCGGTTTGAATTACCAGGCGATCATAATCAGCAGCAGGCTGCGTCCGAAAACAAAACGATCGATGGTCACCTTCTGGAATTCCTGTTCGCCTGGTAATTTAAATCGAAAAATCTCACAACTTTGCCTGCAAAATGTAAATTTTTATGACAAATTGTAGATTTTTCGGGTTGAATTACCAGGCGATCATAACCAGCAGCAGGTTGCTGCCGAAAACAAAACGGTCGATGGTCACCTTCTGGAATTCCTGTTCGCCTGGTAATTTAAATCGAAAAATCTCACAATTTTCCCTGCAAATTGTAAATTTTTGCGAAAAATGGCCAAAATTCAACATTTAAAACCTCGAATGCAATTCGATGGCAAATTTTATACCGAATTCAACGAGGTATGACATTCCACAATCAGACCAATATTTTAGCTGCTGTGAACAAAAAACTGATAATTTTTAATCAAAAAATCAGGATTAAAGAAAATCTATGTACATCGCATTTTGTAAGGGGTAACATCATAATTTTTTGCGAAAAATGGCCGAAATTCAACATTTAAAACCTCGAATGCAATTCGATGGCAAATTTTATACCGAATTCAACGAGGTATGACATTCCACAATCAGACCAATATTTTAGCTGCTGTGAACAAAAAACTGATAATTTTTAATCAAAAAATCAGGATTAAAGAAAATCTATGTACATCGCATTTTGTAAGGGGTAACATCATAATTTTTTGCGAAAAATGGCCAAAATTTAACATTTCAAACCTTGAATGCAATTCGATGGCAAATTTTATACCGAATTCAACGAGGTATGACATTCCACAATCAGACCAATATTTTAGCTGCTGTGAACAAAAAACTGATCATTTTAAATCAAAAAATCAGGATTAAAGAAAATCTATGTACATGGCATTTTTGTAAGGGGTAACATCATAATTTTTTCGAAAAATGGCCAAAATTCAACATTTAAAACCTCGAATGCAATTCGATGGCAAATTTTATACCGAATTCAACGAGGTATGACATTCCACAATCAGACCAATATTTTAGCTGCTGTGAACAAAAAACTGATCATTTTTAATCAAAAAATCAGGATTAAAGAAAATCTATGTACATCGCATTTTTGTAAGGGGTAACATCATAAAAATGGGCAAAATTCAACATTTAAAACCTCGAATGCAATTCGATGGCAAATTTTATACCGAATTCAACGAGGTATGACATTCCACAATCAGACCAATATTTTAGCTGCTGTGAACAAAAAACTGATCATTTTTAATCAAAAAATCAGGATTAAAGAAAATCTATGTACATCGCATTTTTGTAAGGGGTAACATCATAAAAATGGGCAAAATTCAACATTTAAAACCTCGAATGCAATTCGATGGCAAATTTTATACCGAATTCAACGAGGTATGACATTCCACAATCAGACCAATATTTTAGCTCCTGTGAACAAAAAACTGATCATTTTTAATCAAAAAATCAGGATTAAAGAAAATCTATGTACATCGCATTTTTGTAAGGGGTAACATCATAAAAATGGGCAAAATTCAACATTTAAAACCTCGAATGCAATTCGATGGCAAATTTTATACCGAATTCAACGAGGTATGACATTCCACAATCAGACCAATATTTTAGCTCCTGTGAACAAAAAACTGATCATTTTTAATCAAAAAATCAGGATTAAAGAAAAATATGTACATCGCATTTTGTAATCATAATTTTTTCGAAAAATGGCCAAAATTCAACATTTAAAACCTCGAATGCAATTCGATGGCAAATTTTATACCGAATTCAACGAGGTATGACATTCCACAATCAGATCAATATTTTAGCTGCTGTGAACAAAAAACTGATAATTTTTAATCAAAAAATCAGGATTAAAGATAATCTATGTACATCGCATTTTGTAAGGGGTAACACCATATTTTTTTGCGAAAAATGGCCAAAATTCAACATTTCAAACTTTGAATGCAATTCGATGGCGAATTTTATACCGAATCCAACGAGGTATGACATTCCACAATCAGATCAATATTTTAGCTGCTGTGAACAAAAAACTGATAATTTTTAACCAAAAAATCAGGATTAAAGAAAAACAATGTACATACACCGCATTTTTGTAAGGGGTAACATCAGAATTTTTTGCGAGAAATGCTCAAAATTTAACATTTCAAGCCTGAATGCCATCCGATGGGGAATTCCATTACGAATTCAACGAGATATATTAAGATATTTAGATTTTTTAGACATTTTTAGATATAAGATATTTAGACGACCTTAAATTTATGTGAACAAAAAAAAATATTTTTTTTGGGCAGAATTGTCGATTTGTCGACTTTTGGTCGACACCGATGAAAATTATGTCAACAGACCTTAGTATTAAAATTTCATTTGTATTAGAACAAACATTTCAAATTCGGCAAAAATTTCAAAATTAAAAAAAAAAATTGTGTGTTGAATTAGCCAATTTGATTATAATGGCGCTTCGTCTTACGACCATTGCTCTTCTAAAACGCACTCCTTTATTACTCGTGCCAAAGGTAAGGCTAAAAATCGCAATCAGATCCTGTTCATATGATAAGTTATCAACAATTCGATTCGCAGTTAAAAGCAGCACCGCCAACACGCACGATACTACTAAGAAGTAAGTAACTCGTTGGCAAATCTCCAAGTCAGGATTGCTTATGTGCAAACCAATGTCCTTTTTTTCAGAGAATCTGGTACCGTTTTTAGATGATGATCCTTGTGTGTTCTCAAAGAAAGCCGTCATGCATCATTGGGGGGTAAGTGTAAATAGGATTGTCTATAACTCCAAACCCAAAGACTTACCGCATTTGCCATAAACCTATTAACGGAACTTAAAAGTTGAGAGAATGTGTGTATATATAATGTTCTATGCTTACTTTTAGTGCCTCTAATGGTTTATTAGAGCAGTTCTATGTTGGTCTTTTTAAGGGTCTATAGAAGATTTCAGTGGTTAAGGAGTGCCAAATGTATAGAAAGTTCTTAGTTTGTGTATTTGTTGAAAAATATCGAATAAATGCTCAATATTACCAAACTAACTACGCGCAAGATTCATAGATACAAAATTATAATGTTTTGTGTAGGGTGTGGAAAATGCACGGAAATTGAGTTGGTTGAAACTACAGAACAAATTATTTTATGTGAAACATTTATTGTGGTATATATGTATATAGTAAATATATATATAATTAATTATATTAATACGCTGCAACATTTAAGATGAGTTTGGTTTTGAGTTTCGTGTGGATCAAACAGCAAATTTTTACGCAAATTTAAGTTTACACATTACCAACTGATGTCTGTCTTTTTGTGTGAATGAGTGTGCATGTATGTACTACGGTCTAATCAAATCTATACTTTATCTATGAATACTTTATATAATATTTGATTTTCAATAATATATTTATACTGCATAAGAAGCGAAGGGCAACCAAGTTTGGAAACAGCAATTCGATAACTTCTCGAAATCCGACTTTTTGTTTTATATAATTTTGTATTGCACAAACAACGGCAACATAAAACATTAATTTTTTTTTAGATTTGAATACTCTTCATATACGCTACTATTTTCTTTGCTTACAACGACCAACACAACAACACAGTGTGCATCAGTGTATCTTTAAATTGGTTCATCTTTCAACTTAGCGCTTAGGGTTCTAATGTTAGCTTTTCGGGTCATCGTTTTAAGTTCAAGATGGCGCTTAATGTAGCGCATCCTTAAAATACAAATATATATATGTATATATATTTATATGTATCTATTACTTGAGTTTGCCTCAACAGTAACACATCGGTATCAAAGTTATATATGTATGTATATATATTGCTTATATGTTGTCCTCGCTCCAACTAACTACCTATAATATCTGACTGTTAATTGTTGAATCGTATGATTTACCTTTCGCTTAGAGAATACTCTCTAACAAACTTTTAGTTCACACAAATAGGGTATTGTCGCATATATATTTTCTTAAAAAGAGTGTTTCTTAGCTTCTTGCTTGCTGATCATTGGTTTCGATTCAGATATCTTCGTTTTCCAAAAACCATGCATTGCCTAAGATAAAGCCAAAATGTTGAATCAAAGGTAGAATTGGATACCACTTGTGTACAGGTATGTACAACTTAGGATGACGGAAATAAAAAAGCTGGCATTACTAAAAGCATCAATATTGTACACTAGAAGTAAAGCTAAGAACTAAAATAAATTAGGTATCCGTAAATAGAGTGTTACGTACTTAAATTACATTTTGAATAGACTTTTATATGGCTGCAACTCAAATAATATTTATTAGGAAGCGGAAAAACTAGTCAAATTACATTGAGCACCCGAGGTATGAAAAACAATTTAGAACAAATTAAAGTAAATAATCTACAAAGAAAGAAGTGAATTATGTATAATAAATATCGTTATTGCTAAGTATCAATCTTTTACCATTACTTTACGATTACGTGGTACCAAGTTCGAAACGGAGAGTACGTTATACGAGTACATTTTACAAAGTCTAATATATGACGGTGGTTTCTAAGTCAACTATGAACTAATTAGTACCATACGAATGTAAGAGTATTTATGTTTAATTACAGCTAGTCTTACGCTAAACATTAACAATACAATATGTTGTACAAACATTTTTTTTCATTTGTTTGATTTGTGCATTGTACAAGAAAAAATTATTTCGTGCAAACTACTTCCAAATTACAGATATATAGTACTTTTCCAGATGTTATTTTACTCGTATGCCACTTAGTTCAAATGAAGTACAAAGGTTCTATGTGTAAAATGTTTTTTTTTTTCCACATTTCATTTATTCATTTCAATTCAATTCAAAAGGGATTTATGCCAAGAAGTATTTCAATAGGAAAATTACACAAAAGGGTTCACATTACATTTTTGTCAGCAATTGGTTTGATTTTCGGATTTCTCTGTTTGGATTCTGGGGGGGTTTTATAGGCTAAAAGAGTAAATACCGTTTACATGTCCTTTGTATATATCGAAAGAATTATATATGGTGTTTCAGTATATATATGTTAGTGTCTACACATCGCTACAAGTATAGAGCGAGAAGTAGAGCGACAGCAGTTACGTGTTACAGTTACAAGATACAGGTGTTGTATATAATATATCCGCTTTTCGTTACAGGCTAAACAAATAATAACCGTTTCGGAAACAAATGTATACAAGGCTGGCTGTTATACTTTCTGATCTATGGATACGTTTCTCAGCCAAAGCCAAACTCACAAACTCAATTTAAAGGGTGTTATACTGGTTTGCTTATGGCCTAAAAGTTATATCGTTTATATATATATATATGTATGTATATATATTTATATGAAAACTTATGGCTAACCTTCGTGTTTACCAAATCGTTCAATATAATGCACTTGCTTATCGTTTATATAGTTTGTTTTAATCCTTTCTTGACCTTTGTTCCAATCCTTGGAGAAACAAATTTACAACAGTTAGTAAGTAGAGCTTTCCACCCGTCTGCGATTTTTTCTTATGAATAGGTCGAAACGATCTGTAGTTTGGGAACCAAATAACCAAAAATCAAAACAAGGTTCTAAGCCATTTTTACTCCTTAAATGGGCGATTTCGTTTAAAATTCCTCGTTGCAAAAATTGTACTGATTGATTACGTGTAACAAGTATAGCCAAAAGCTGAGCTCGGTCTGCCCAATGAGGTTGTTTGGAAATCATCGGGGTCTTTAGACACAAAACATAACCGAATTTGATTAACCCTAAAATTTCTGCCGTTGCCACTATTGGTGTAAGAACTTTTTCATGTCAATTAGTTGCTGGAAGACGAGTCTAAGTTATGTTTTCGTTTAGGAAAGTCTTAGCAAGGCTTTCTGCTAAAATTTCGTTAGCGAATCTACTCACCTCAGTTTTGGAGTATTCTTTACTTCACAATGTTTATTGTATTTAGCCTTAATAAAAAACCACGTTTGTATCAATTGAACTTGGTGTTGAATTCGTTCGTTTCGATTTTCTTTTCTTTTCAAAATACAGCTCAGTAGAATTGATATGTTACGAGCCAATAGAAGTAATCATCCTTCCTTGCTATATAAGAAAACATGTTCCTTTTTTCCATATATATGTATATATTTGTTTTGTGTTTTAGTATATTTGAATTTTCTTGCTTAACACTTAAATTAGGTTTGAATCCGACTGTTGTTGTCTTTGATCTTAGCATTTTGTTAAGCATTTGAAATGAGCAAAAGTAGCCATTCACTGTTTCTTAATAATATGTGTTATGCATTTAAATATAATTTTAGCAATTGATAAATATATAGCTTGTTCGTCAAAGTATCTCTTGAATACTTGTACGCATTGCTTCGAAATTATTTAACACCTTGACTTAAGTTTAAGCTTAAAGTAATGTTTTTCTTAGAGCATTTTCAATGTGATGTATATGTTTTGTTGTTTTTATATTTCCCAGAATTAGTCAAGGGAAATAATTGCTTTTAGATTTTATTGTGTACGTTCGATTTTTGGTTTGCATTTTTACTTAAATATTTATTGTTGGTTTTTCGCTGCGTACTTACCACCATTTTAATTTGTTTATAAACAATTAGTTTGTGCCTATGCACATCAATTGACTAGCTTGTTGAGAGTGTATTGGTGTGTGTTTGGTTGTATTAGTGTCGGTGTTTTTTATAGCGCTTGGTTGATAAGAAAACATATATGGGTACGCCAAACAAATAAGCAAGAAGCCAAAAAATGCCAGGTCACGAAACAAAAAATACTTTAAGTAAACTAATTAACTTTGGGTTTCACTTTCATTTTGTTAGGATCTAATAACCTGATTTCTGAATTTTGCTACAAATTTGGTCCTCATTAGTCACTCAAATCAACAATATTGGATGCACTAGTGTTCGGTTATCTAAAACCATATCCAAAATGAAAACTACTTGCTTGCGCTGTTTTCAAGATATCGATGATCGGTTCAAAATATTTTCTGGAGAATTTTTCAGCAAACCTCTTTTCATAAATTCAGTTTGGTTTTCTTGGGTAAATCTCGAAAACTCTTGGATTTGACACCTTCAAAGTGATATGCGTTGTTTTGTAGCCTTCACAACAACAGTTGATGAAATGTTTACTTGTGTTTCTTCCCTGGTTCTCACTGGGTATACCAAAAATTCTACTCTAAGTATGCAATTTGACACATTTTGAGAGACGCTCCTCAATATACTCGTATAATTGATATATACATATAATATATAATTTTTTGTTTCGGTTTTACTAATTGAATATATCACGGTCCTGCTAAATATCATCGTATATGTTCTATCTGTATATATGCATGTAAATATCTATAAAGTTTTCGCCACTATATGTAGTTCTGCGGGAGAACATGTTTCAAAGGCTATCTAATCCAACTATTTCAATTTCTAAAACGCTCTTCGATCCGAATCCAAATCCAAAAGGTACCCTAGGATTGGTTTCCTTGTCGATTGCATAGTGTAAGTACTTTTCTCAGTTTGTTAGGTAATTTGGTTTACGAATACTGACACTTGAATGCTGAAACACAGTTGATCTTATTGTCATATGATGTATGTGTGTATGATGTAGGTATGTAAGTAGTTAATGCTAATGTCTTCCTAATGGGGGGAACTTGAGGAATCTCGGCTGGGGTTCCAACTGTGACAGATGATATGAGATTGCCGTTGTATATATAAAGGTTTTTACTCAATTGACTACTGTACATGTTTCATCATGCGTTTGGTTTTATAAATGGGTGTATATATCTATTAAAAAG